GAGCTGAGGCTCCAATACTTTGGCCATCTGATGAGAAGAGAAGATTCCCTGGAAAAGACCCTGATGTTGGGAAAGTGTGAAGGCAAGAGGAGAAGGGGACAACAGTGGACGAGATGGTTGGAGAGTGTCACCGAAGCTACCAACATGAATTTGGCCCAACTCTGGGAGGCAGTGGAAGACAGGAGGGCCTGGTGTGCTCTGGTTCATGGGGTCACGAAGAGTAGAGCACGACTTAACGACTAAACAACAACAAAAATGCCGAAAGCAATAAGCAATCATCTCCATCCCCAAAACAAATAATAAAAATATAATTATAGTTCCTCTCTTTGGTTGCTCTGTTTTATTTTCATTCACTTAGCATTAAAACCTCAGTGCCTTCTGAAGCAATCCATAGAAATATATAGTATAGCCTTCAGATTCTAAATGTGTATTAGCCAGCAATCACACTTATAAATAGCATATTGGGTAACATGAAGTAGCCACACATAAGGCTTACACACCATTGCAAAAACTCAGAGCCCTCTGTGTGAGATGGGGAACTGGGAAAACTGTATACAGGTAGTTTTGGCTTGCTCTTAAAACTGTGCTTGAAGTCCACTTCCTCAGACATAATGGCAGTCCCGTTCTTCTGTCTGAGGAATTAAAAACCTCACATTAAAATATAGCAGTTAGTTTTTAAGGTGCCACAAGATTGGTGTCATTGGAAGCTAGTGAAAATCCATCAAATATTAGGCTTCCAGGATGCTCACTACCATAACATGAAAAGTAAAATAGAATAAAAATCAAGGTCTGCTTATCTTTAAAGTTTACTTTTTATAGATAGGCTCTGATCAGTTTGTTGTGCTTGCTCATCTGTAAGATGGCTAGAGTGTTGTCATCACCATTTCTGATAGGAAGCCAACACTTTACTGTATAGATAATGATAATCACCACCACCTTTGAACTGTAGAGCTGGAATGGACTCTGTGGATCATTGAGTCGAGTCACTCTCAAGGAGGCACAGTTGGAATTGAACTCCCAACCTCTGGCTCTACAGCCAGATGCCTAAGCTATCCAGCAGTTGATGATGATGATGATGATAATAATAATAA